CTTTTTCAATTTTATTTGCAAATAGCACAAATACTTTTTATAATAAAATATAAATTATTTCCCTGTACTATTCCCTCTATAATATAAAATTATATTAAATTAAAAAAAATGAATTTCCATTCCTTGTTGTCATTTATTTCATATTATTTCATTTCTTTCCTTTTTTATGTTTTAAATATTGATCAGAAAAAATATTATAAAAATTAAATGTATTATTATTAATATATCATTAATTTTGTTAATAATTGGAATTTTTTTTTTGGCATATATATACATATTTTGCTTAAATAATTTTGTATTTAAGAATCCAAATATACAATTAATTAAATGTATTAATGAATAAACAAAAACAATGAAAAAGAACAGAATTTCTTGATCAACTTATTGATTAGAGAAAATTAATTTTAATTTTTAGACTAATGAATGTAAAAAATGTCCAAATGGCTTAGTATTGAATACAACAAGTGATCGAATGGGTATTAAAAGTTGTATACCATGTGGTGCTAATCTTATCTCATATGATAGTATACGATGTATATCAAATGGTATATTGATATTGGAAAATTCTGCTATCAATAAAACATATCATTTTAATTTTACATATTTTTTAATCGGTATATCAATTTTTATCATTAATTTTGCTTATTTCAATTAGTAATTAATATTATAATTTATTGAAAACAATGTTTATTTTTTCCCACAATTAATTTTATTCAAATTAAATCTTCCAATTTTTGCTATTACCCTTACTTTTTTCTAAACCCTTTCCGCAATATTTAAATGAAATTTTAATTGATTTAATTTGAACAATTCCTTATTTTAATCAATACAATAATTTATAATTAATATTTCCATGATAAATTAATAAATTTTCGAAATAATTTTTTTTGGAACAAAAGTTTTTTTCTTTTGCAAAATAAAAATATTGGAAATTATCATAATTAATTAAAATGTATATATTATATTCGTATATTATATTTATCATACATGTATTATATTTATTATTTGTATATTATATTTATTTGCATATATTATATTTCGTCAGTATTTAGCAATATAAATTAAATTTTAATTTATTAAGAATTAAGTTATTTATTATTATTTTTTTTTCCATTTTTTGTTCCAGAACATTTACGGCTGAAGGTGTTAAAGTATTTGCACGCGAGGGTGAATCATATTTTCATTTATACAATATTTCACTTTTAACCGAAAATGGCGCAAATTGTAAAGAAATTTATACATCAACAGAATATGGAAGTACTTCTCGATCTTATAGTATGCAAACAAATCAAGTACAATATTTTATTTTAGTTTTTCATTCTTTTTATACGTGTAATAAATTTTGAAACTTTAAAAATTTCATCAATAAATTTCAAAACAAAAAAAAAATCTACAAAAAATTATGGAAAAAATTATAATAAACCTAATTATAGGTCCAATTATAAATCTAATTTATACATTTAGATTTATTAACTTCTAAATTTTTCTTGAACTCTTTGAATTTTCCGAATTTAAATTCAAATAATTACTTAAATTAGATTTTTAAAACTTGACAAAAAAACTAATTATTATTTGTTACAGGATCAAGATAACACCGAATTGGTAAATGCTTACATTTGTCGTTCAACAGCAATACCGATGCATCCGATTGCAAATGCTACACAACGTTTTTATTACATTTCACCCGTCATGTATCTTATTTTTATTAATGAAATTAAATTTCGAATTTTTTAAAATTTTTATATTTCAGAAAATTTCAACTTTGAAGAAAACAAACCATTAATTTTTTTAATTTTTTAAAAAATTCGAAATATTCTTTTTTTTGAATCTAATATTTGTGAATTTTTTGTTACATTGGAAGTACTATATTAGTAAACAAATTATTTTTTTTTTTATTTAGAATTGGTT